GCGGCCCCCGCCGGGCGGGCCCTCTGCCTGCCCCCTGTCCCCCTGCCCCGTTAGGGCGGCCCGGACAGGCGCTCTGCCTGCGGGCCCCTTTAGGGTGTGTCGGGCCCCTGCCCTGCCAGCTGGCCCCCCGTTAGGGCAGATCCGGGACCACGCGTGCCAGCCAGGGCGGGGCTTCCCTGCCCGGGACTAACCCCTACCCCCTTGGGAGCACACACAGCTCCAAAGAAGGGGCGCCTGGAGCCCCGGCTGGGCCTCGCCACGGCCCGCTTTGCACTTCCGCTAACGGGGAGTCTTCCTGCTCTCGCTGTTGCCTTGGTTCCCTGCCTTCTGACCGGAGTGGGCCGGTGGGGTGGGAACCAGATGGCCGAGGGGGGAAGCGGATCCTTCCTGGAAGGGGGACGGGGCAGAGCCGCGAACAAGCCTGACTGATGACCTCCCCGCTGCTGCCTCAGTTTCCTCATCTGGAAAACCGGGGTATTAATATAACTCGGGTTGGTTTGTCTGTGAAGATAACACAGTTAATGGGTGTGAAGCCCTGGTCTGGCATCGCGGGCTTGACGCCCAGTGACCGGACCCGTGGTGGTGGTTACTGTCATCCCTGCTCTCCTTGTCTGCTTAACAATTCACCTGGAGAACAGCCCTCAGCTCCCTCCTCAAACTCCACTCCCGAATGTCCTTCTTCCCTCCACCCCAGATTCCCCAGCCCAGATAATCCAACATAGGCTTGGTGCTTAAGAAATGTTTGTTGAATGAGAGAGTGATCACAGCCCGCCATAAGGTGGTGTTGTTCATAGGAGAGAATCGAGGAAGGGGGAGGTGTATGACATATGTGTATGTTTATTAATTCTCGCTTATTTAGTTCTAATGTGGTTGTAAGATCCTAAATGCTCAGTAGTACTAATAGTGTCTAAAGTGTTTTTCCACAATTAGCTTGTCTAATCCCCTCTGCCCGTGACTGCAGAGTGAAATGGGTCCTGCCCTCACTCTGAGGTACACATGAGGGAACAGGCCCAGAGAGGGAAGCATCTTGCCCCAGGCTGTGTAGCTGATGGCGGCCAAGCAGGGTGTGGAGCCCAGGTTGCGTTGCTGCTGCCTGGTCCTGCCTCAGTCTCCCCAACCTCGCTGACTGTCCCCCTCCCCCTGCAGGGTGGCCACAGACCACAACTCAGACAACACGTCGGCCGTGCTGCGGGAATGGCTGGTGGCCGTGAAGAGTCTGTACCACTCGGTGGAGTGGCGGCCGGCAGAGGAGCCCAGGTGAGCGCCAGGCTCTTCCTGGAGCCCCGCGGCGGGACTCGTCTGCACCCGTGCTTATACCCCCCGTGACTCCCCGTGGTCCTGGCACGGAACCCCAGCCCCCAGCCCCTGACTCTCCAGCCCTAATCGCCGGCTCCGGCTCCTCTGAGCGGCCCTCAGCTTCCCCAGCGGCCATGATCCCCCTCTGGACTTTGCCCCTGCCCTTCCCTCTGCCTGGAGTTCCTTCCCTCCCCATCTTCCTGGCGGATGCCCGCCGCTGTGCCCTCTCACTCTCGCCCCAGCACCAGCTCTGCTCCTCAGCTGCCCCGGGGTCCTTTCACCCTGTCAGGGTTTATTTCTGTCCCACCCGCTGCCCAGACCAGATTCTGAGTCTGGGAGGACAGGCTCCAGATTTCCTTCTCCTCCCCCAGTGGGGCTCCCCCTCACCCTCAGGGTCGTCCTCGCGTGGCATAAGCGGCCCCTTCCTCCCTCTCGGGTGCTCTGAGCTTTCTACCCTACAGATTGCCTTGGGCTTTCTTCCTTCTGGGCAAAAAGTAGTGGGGACCCCTGGACCTTCTGTGCCCCTGCCTCTCAGGGACACATCTCCCTCCTATTTTCTCCTCTTGCTTCTTCTCTGCCTTCAGATCCAGCTTACACACCCCCTCCTCCAGGAAGCCCTCTTTGACCACCCCCACAGCCGGTGCTGGGCCAGTGCCCCACGCTTCCCCCATCACGGCTGCCTTTCCACAGGTCCTACCCAGATGAGGAGGGCCTCAAACACTGGTCCGACTCCCGCTACGAGCACGTCATGAAGTTGCGCCAGGCGGCTCTGAAGTCAGCCCGGGACATGTGGGCTGACTACATCCTGGTGAGTTCCCACCGGCCAGCCCCGGCTTGCGGCCAGAGGCCTGGGGCGTCCGAGGGAAGGCGGGGCAGCAGGATGCGGGGACCATCCTTAACCCTGTTTTACAGGGGGGGAACTGAGGCTCTGGGAGGGGAGTGTGTTGTTGGAGGTGACACAGCCGGTTGGTGGAGGAGGTTCTGGTCGTCAGGCTGGTCCCCAGCCATCCGCTGTGGTTGGACACTTGGGTCATCTCCGCCTTTTTTGCCGGCTCTGCACGCCCCATGGTGATGCCCTCTGGGTCATTCCGAGAGAAGCAGGAGGGGGGTTGGGACCGCTGAGGCCTGACTTTCGCTTCCTCCGCCTGGGCCTGCGTGGCCTCTGGGAGGAAGGGGACGTTGAGGCTGAACGCAGTAATGTTGGGACACATGCCCGCAGGCCTTCTGCGAGCTCCTCAGCCTGCCCCCTGACCTAGGAGCCCCTCTCTGGTGCGGGCGGGGAGGGCGGCGCCGCCAGGCTGGCTGCTCTGGAGGTTGGACGCAATAACGCCAGCCTGGCACTGCCAGGCCCGGCTGGGGACTGGACCTCCTTTATTCATCAATCGACATACATCTGCAGGCCCCTCCCGGGGCCCTCCTCCCACCAGACCCTGGGCACACAGTGGGGACGGGCGCAGGCTGAGCCCCTCCTCCGAGTGTCCGGGAGAGGGGCCTGGCGAGAGAGCAAGCAGAGCTGAGTGAGGAAGCAGTGGAAGGCAGGCAGCCGGCGCCGGGGGAACGGCAGAGAGGCCTCGGATGGCGTATCGGTGTTCTGGGGCGTCTGTGCCGCGGCGGGGGGGTGCAGCTTATTGTCTCGGTTTTAGAGGCTGGGCGTCTGCAGTCCCGGTGTCACGGGGCCGAGCTCCCTCTGAAGGCTCCAGGGAGGGTCCTTCTTGGCCTCTTCCAGCTTCTGGGGCTCCACGCGTCCTTGGCGTGTGGCCACATCACTCCAGTCTCTGCCTCTCGTCACATGCCTTCTCTCTGTGTCTCTTCTCTTCTCATGAGGTCACCAGACATTGGATTCGGGGCCCACCCTAATCCAGCATGACCGTCTTAACTCACATCTTCATGATGTCTGCAAAGACTCTGTTTCCAGATAAGGTCACAGTCACAGGCTGTGGGTTAGAACTTCAACGTATCTTTTTTGGGGGCCACCATTCAACCCAAAACAGCCGGCATAACCAGGGCGGGGTGGCGAGCGAGCAGAGTCTGGGTGCCTACCTTGAGGAGGGGTCCTGGCGGAGACCTGAAGGAGCAGAGGAGCCAGCCTTGGGGAGCTGAGGTGCAGCGTCTGGGGCAGAGGGGACACACAGGGAGAAAGCGTGGGGCAGTTAAGGCCCGGCAAGGAGGCCGGCGTGGCTGGACTGGAGTGACGGAGGGGGCGACGGAGGGAATGATGCTGAAGTGGTGGGTGGGGGCCGGACTGCATAGGCTGGGGGAGAGATTTGGCTCTTACTGTGAGGGTAGTGGGGAGTCATGGTGGGTGTGTGAGCCAAGGAGCTTGTGTTCTGATTTATGATTTTCAGAAGCTCCCGTGGCTGCCGTGGGGAGCAGGGCCCGTCGGGGCAGGAGTTGGGGCAGCAGGAAGCCAGGGTGGAGGCCTGTATGGGGCAGGGGCTGTGGAGAAAGGCAGGCGGGTTCAGGAAGTGTTCTGAGGCCGAGGGGACAGGCCCTGCTTGGGGACTGGATGTGAGGGTGCCGGGAGGGCCCCACGTCCCTGCGTGAGCCGGCGGGGAGGACGGAGCAGGTTCTTCCCGGGAGCCTGTGGTTGGTGCCTCCTCTGACCATTGTACAGATGGGAAGGTGGAGACTTTGGGAGGGCGGGGGTCTGGGAACCAGGGAGGCAGAGAGGGGCACAGGAGTGCCGGCCCGCCCCCCTGGGCTTTGCTTTCGGTTGAGGTCGGCTGGTTTTCACATTTTTCCCTCAGCAAACGTGGGTGGAACTCCAGGTGCTGGTTCAAAACTCTGAACAGCTTTGGCGAACCACGTGGTGGTGTAACGGGGGCTCCGAGAGTCCACGCGGACGTGAAGTCGTTCGTCTAGTGTTTTTAAATGGTTATTAAAAGGGCCTCTTTTTATAAACACTGTGCGTGTCACTTGTAAGAAAATATACAAGAAAAAATAAGGAGCTTAGGCAAGGAAAACAAACTGCAAACCTTGTAATCCTGCCTCCCAGACATTCTTGCTTTCTGGCTGCCTTTTGTGTTTTACTTGAGGTGCAGTTTACGGAACATAAAATTAACCATTTTAAAGTGTGCAATTCAGTGCATTTAGTGTGTTCGTTATGTTATGCAACCACAGCCTCTATCTAGTTCCAGAGCTAGTTTTCATCACCCCAAAGGAAACCCCGGCCCCCTGAGCAGTCGCTCCCCGTCCCCCTCCCCAGCCTGTGGCCATGCTGATCTGCTTCTGTCTCTCTGGGTCTGCCTGTTCTGGACGTTTCACATAGATGCAGTCTTACCGCATGATGCCTTTGTGTCTGGCTTCTCTCACTCAGCATGAGGTTTTCGAGGTTCATGCCCATGCTCGGGTGTGTGAGAGCTTCATTCCTTGCTATGGCTGAGTGATATTCCACTGTGTGGCTGGAACTGCATTCTGCTCGTCCGTCGTCTGTCGGTGGACACTTGGCTCGTTTCCGCCGTGTGGCTCCTGTGGAAAGTGCTGCTGTGAACGTGCTGCACAGAGGTCCGTTTGAGTCCCTGTTGCTGGTTCTCTTGTCTCTATGTAGGAGTGGAATTGCTGGGTCCTATGGTAACTCTGTTTAACTTTTTGAGGAACTGCCAGACTGTTCTGGCTGTTTGCACTGCATGTGTATTCAAAGGTCGCAAATGCAAACGTCCGCAGAGGCTGGGCAGGGAGAGGGAGCATAACACACCGCACGGCTCGTCCCAGGGGGCAGCCGCCTCCCGTCTCCAGCTGAGGGTTGCCGTGTGGGAAAGCCGTCCCATGTTGCCGGAGAAGGCTGGAATTCTAGTTTTTGTTGTTGTTTACGACCAGTGATTCAGATGTTCCAAAAGTGCCACATGGGTAACAGAAAGCATATCTGTGGACCAGATGCAATAAAAAAACCCCACGTCCTAATAGTTCTGTAATAGGCTGTGACCTGCGTGTTCCCAGGCCGGTTGACGGGAACGGCCTGACCTAGCCATCTCTGTGCCGTGGTTTTCAGTTGCCTGTGCTGGACATCTCCGATAGGTGGGCCGTGCAGTGGGTGCCTCAGTCTGCAGCAGGCGGGGCCAGAATTTCTTTAGCTGACTTGCCTCTGCCAGACTCCTGGCTCGTTCCCAAGTTTGTGGGATAAGCAACATGGCCGAGAGAACATCCTGGTTGTCCTTTCTGGAAGGGATTGGTGACACTGTTTTGGGGGGACCAGCAGGCACCCCCCCCGGTGGTGACACTGTTCCTGGGTTGGTGAATTTCCCTCCAGGCTGCAACAAACAGGTTATCATCTTTTTACCCCAACATTCAAGGTGTTAAAGAAAAAAATAAAAGAGGGTTATGTAAAGATCCTATTTTTATGAACTTTTAATTGGCCTCTAACTCACAGAGAAAAAGGTGTGTTCCCCCAGCCGCTGCCCCAGGGGGCCCGCCCCGCCCGGCCTCCTCATCGACGGCACTGCTGTTGTCAGGTTTCCATACCTGCAGCCACGCGGCGCCCACTGCCACGGCCAGTGTCTCGCCAGCGCCGCGTCTGGGACCCGCTCGTGTTGCGTGAATGGCGGTTGGCTCGGCACTGAGGGCAGCGCTGTCGGTGGAGGAGCCAGGCGGTTTCCAGGGCCGCGGGTGCTGCCCCGCCTTCCGAGCCCAGGACTCCGGCCCCGGCCCCAGCCGCGCCCCAGTCGCTCCGGCCTCGGCCAGGTCGCTCCTGCGGCCCACACTGACGCTGTGTCGGGTGTTTCACAGTTTGTGGATGCGGACAACCTGCTCCTCAACCCGGACACTCTGACCCTGCTCATCGCCGAGAACAAGACGGTGGTGGCCCCCATGCTGGACTCCCGGGCCGCGTACTCCAACTTCTGGTGTGGCATGACGTCCCAGGTCAGCGGCTGTTGGGGAGGGCGGGGCCCAGGGGCTGTGGCTGGAGTCTAACTTCTCATCATACTTACAGCACCATCGTGATGATCCTTAAACAGCTCCCTGAGAGAGGGTCCACGATTGTGTTCTCTACCCCCCAACCCTCACTACTGAGGCAGGAACAGAAACACAGAGAGGGGAAGTGACTTGTCTAAGCTCACACAGCTCGGAAGTGGTGCCAGGATGGGACTTCAGGCACAGCTTGATCCAGGTGTTCAAACAACAGCCCTGTCTTCCTCCATCCCTTGGGTGGCTTCCTGTTCAGACTCCTGGGGAATGATCCCAGCAGCCTCCAGCCAGAATCCTCTCTAATTTGGCCTTGTCCAGTCTCTCCTCTTACCCCTGAACCAGTTACTGCAGCCAGGAACATACCAGGCTGTGATTGGCCAGGCCTGGGCCACAAGTCCCACTCCAGGGTTGAGGGTGGGGTTGCAGGCAAAGCCAGAGGGAGTGAAGGGGTGGGTGTTGGAGCCAGTACTCTGTCCCATCCTGTCTCCTCGTCTTTTTGTTTTGAATTGATGTTCGAGTCACATAGCATAAAATTCACCATTTTAAAATTCAGTGGTTTCTATTTTTTAAAATATGTTCCATAAATTTAAGTGTTATACGCTAACAATTCCAATTTCTAAAGGGAACGAGGAAGAGAGGCCAACTCTAGATTATTCCAGAAGCTTTTAAAACTCTTCTAAAAGATTCCTCCCCACTTCCTTGAAGTCACGCTTCTGACGTTCAACTTCTGTGTAAATCAAAGGATCTCAAATGTCTGGTCCCTTTTCCGGCTGTTTAATTTCTCCCTCAGACACTGCCTTTCTGGGCTGAGGGGCTGGGCTGGGTCTGCTAGTGGGCGACTGTCCCCCTTTGTTTACCTGCCATTGCCCGTCACTGAGGCCCTGGGGGAGACTGTGCCCGAGCCCGGGGCTCGGGAAATGCCAGGGCAGACAGGAGCTGGCGCCCGGTCCTGCTCTCCAGGGTTCCCGGCCCCCATCTTGCGGGCCTCCAGCCTCACCGTTAGGGCCCATGTAAGACTGCCCACCCCCCACAGGGCTACTACAAGCGCACGCCCGCCTACATCCCCATCCGCAAACGGGACCGCCGGGGCTGCTTTGCGGTTCCCATGGTGCACTCGACCTTCCTGATTGACCTGCGGAAGGCGGCCTCCAGGAACTTGGCGTTCTACCCTCCCCACCCGGACTACACCTGGGCCTTCGACGACATCATTGTTTTCGCCTTCTCCTGCAAGCAGGCAGGTGAGCCCATAGGAGGTTGCCATCATGGGGCGTCGTCTGGCTGGTTCTTCGGGATCTGTGCTGAGCAGGTTCAGACAGAGCCCACAGAAGGTTCACAGAACCAAAACTGCAGGGTGCAGGGATGGCTTCAGGTGTGGCTCTATCCGGGGGTTCAGATGACGTCCCCAGGACCCAGTTTCTCTCCAGCCCTGGCTTTGCGGGTTGCTTTGCTCCTCAGCTGTTTAAAACCTATTTATTGAAGGTTATCTCCATCTCAACGTTTTTCTATACTCTCCCAGTTTTCTGTAGTTGAGCGTATATTAATTGGATAATTAGGGAAAAAAACGTTTAAAAGAGAAAGAGAACACAGCCATGTGCTGACTTGTCATTTATTTTAAACCAGAGGCGGGCACACTGTGGCCCTTAAGCCAAATCCAGCCTACCATCTGTTTTTGTAAGACCACAAGCTCAGAATGGTTTTTACGTTTTTAAATGGTTGGAAAAAAAATGAAGAACAGTATTTTGTGACATCTGAAAATTAGCTGAAATTCAAATTTCAGTGCCCATAGGTGAAGTTTCGTTGGCACACAGCCACGCCCCTTCATGTGAGCCTTGTCAGGGTGCTCTCGTGTCCGGTGGCAGAGCCAGGCGCCGCAAGCTGAAGATGTGCACCATCTGGCCCTTTATGGGAAAGTTAGCCAATTAAAATGGAAATCATTTTCACGTTAAAAACTGATATGTCCTCATTATAAAAATGTGAGCCATCTGGAACAGGGCAGGTGCGGGAGGAGGTGGCGTTACTGCCCTCCTGTTGGGCTGTGTCCCCTCTCCGTGCGTAACCATGCCTTTGCTGTTCTCACTATCTGCCGTTTGCTATGTTGCGGAGTCCTGTAGGGACCAGGGCAGCGTGGTGCAGTGCGCTTAAGGGTTCCAGAGTCTTCCATCCTGCCCAGCGACGTCTGGACATCTCTGACTGCCCAGCTCTGTGCGGCCCGGGAGCACGCAGGGTGTAGGCTGCCTGCCTGCGGAGGCTCCATCCCAGCTCTGCGTCCCAGGGGAGCGCTGAGGGGCCTCCGCGGGCAGCTGGGGATAGCAGGCTGTTGGCGCTCCCTGCGCAGGTGGAGGGTGGCTGCCTTGCTCTGCCCCCGGTGTTGACCGCTGTCTCCTGGCCCAGAGGTGCAGATGTACGTGTGCAACAGGGAGGTGTACGGCTTCCTGCCTGTGCCACTGCGGGCACACAGCACCCTCCAGGACGAGGCCGAGAGCTTCCTGCACGTGCAGCTGGAGGTCATGGGTGAGTCCGCCCCTCTCTGGGCCCTCTCACAGCCCTCCCTTGGACACTGATCCAGCGCCTGCTGGGGGCCGGTCCCTTGGCTGGGCCCTGGGGACCTGGTGGGAATAAGGTGGATGGTTGTCCTGCTCTCTTGGAGTGCTGACTTGCAAGCAACTATGTGTGGTGTGCTTGGGACAGTCAGGATAGGCTTCCTGGAGGAGGTGGCATTAAGGTGCAGGGTGAATAGGAGTTAGCAGAAAGAGAATTGCAGCCGGAGGGAGCAGCGCATGCAAAGGCTGGGAGGCTGGAGGGGACGTGAGCTCAGGGAACAGGCAAGGTTGGCAGGGCAGAATGGGGCTAGTGAGCTGGGCAGGGCCGGCAGGCAGGGCCGGGGCAGGGGCCTCAGACACCAGGCCGAGGAGCGGGCCTTTTCCCCAGGGGCAGTTGGGGGCCATGGAGGGTGTGGGAGCAGGGAGGCAGAGGTGTTCACTGAGGAACCTTCAGGTGCGGGCAGTGTCTGGGACACAGCCATTTCAGGCTTTTTCCACACCTCAGACCCACTATTTATTTAATATTTATCTTAAGCAGACATCTTTTTTTTTTTTTTTACTTGAATACATTTATTTAAAAAAGGAAACTACGTGTTTTTACTGCAGTTGCTAGCTTATGTTCTTCTAACACTATGTAAGTAAATCCATAAGCTGTGAGACTAGCAGCCGTCCCTCTGGTGGGCCCCTGAGGTGGGAGGAGTGCAGAGGGCTGAGCTGCCCTCGGGGTTGTTTGAGGAGGGGCTCTTCCCAGCCAGGGTCTCTGTCTGCTCCCCTGTGGGCCTTGCTTGCACAGCCATGTGCGTGCCTGCGAAGGCCTTTCCTCCCACTGCACCGAGGGAGAGGGGCTGGGAGGGCCAGGCCTCTGCCTGGGGCTCAGTCCCACTCTGACCTGCTTCTAGAAGGTTCTCTGTGTGTCTCCCCCTGGTGGCTGAAGATGGAATAGCACCCTGCGCTCTGGTTTGGGGAGACTTTTGGGTCTTTTGAGGTGACGCCTGGAAGCTGCAGGGTCACTAGGGTGGAGGCCCCCCCAGTCCCTACGTGTCTGTTACACGTAGATGCCTGGGCCCAGCCCGCAACCCTCCTGGGCCGCAGTCCTAAGAGGTGGGTCCCTGCCTGTCACCAGCACCCTTCAGGGGCTGGACCCTGAGAAGCATCACTGTGGCTGCCATAGTTTTCCTGGTTTACTGTCCTAGTTTAAATTTTCACGTTTCTATTGTTATTTCCAGTCAGGAAACCGTTCATGCTGCTGTTATAAACTCAGACATGACAGGGGCGTGAATTTTCCGTTTCTCGAGGGCCAAAGCAGAGCACACAGAGCAGACGGGGGGAGGGTCTGGACGTTTCTGACGTTTGTGCAGGTCCTTCCTCGTGGTCCGCATGAAAACTGCCTGTTCTCTCCCACCCATGTGTGGGTCCCCGGACCAGGCTGTGCATGATTTTTCATGAGTTCGAAAATCTTTCTTGTGACGAAGCATCGGCCCTGCAGAGAAGCTCCGAGTGCTGCCCCCTGTCCGGGCACCCCGCAGCTCGCATCCCTCCCCACCTGCTCGTGGCCCCAGGGCATCTTCCCCAGTGGCCCCGTGACCCCACTCAGTGTGACTCCTCTGTGCTGAGTCCCGGCACACGGCGGGAAGGGTGACAGCAGCGTGACTGCTCACACCCTCATCGTCAGCTGTGGGCCAGGCTCCCCTGTCCTGACTTCATCAGCTGATAGGTTTTGCCCGTTTGGTGCTTCACATAAGTGGAATCGCACCGTGTGCCACTCCGGTGTGCGGTGTCTTCACTCAGCATCCCGTCTGTGCCGTCACGGCTGCTGTGTGTGGCTGTGGCTCGCTCCCACGCCTTGCTGCATAGTGTTCCATGAAGGCATTCAGCCACAGGATTGTCCACTCTGGGCTGTGTCACGTCACTTTACCATTCTCCTGAGGGACGTGGAGGGCGTGCGAGAGAGTTCCAGACATGCACCAGTGGGTGTGAGTTAGGAAATTCCACAAGATCGCCCTCACTTCTCACACCAGTTGCAAGACCATGCTCAGGTTTGATAATTCGCTAAAGGGACTCAGAACTCACAGAAGCTGTTATACTCACGGTTGTAGTTTATTACGAGGGAAAGGACACAGTCAGCCAAGGGACGGGGTGCATGGGGTGACGTCCAAGAGAGTTCCATGCACGGAACTTCTGGTTGTCCCCTCATCATGGAGTCATGGGGACAGCACTTCTCCCAGCACCAATGTGTGACAACGCACATGGTGTACTGCCATCCAGGGAGGCTCCTTGAGCCTCAGTGTCCAGAGTTTTTATTGGGGCTCATACATGCAGACCCGGCTGACTGCCCACGTGGCTGACCTCCATCTCCAGCCCCTGCAGAGGGGAGCTGATACCACATGGCCCAAGACCCCCACCCTAAATCACACTGTTGACACACACCACCCAGTGTGGTCCCAGGCCAACAAAGACTCTGTATTAAAATATCAAGGTCACATGGGTTTATACATTCTGTAAATTTTAGGTGTACGTCATTGTATTTTGACTTGTATGTAGACTGCATCATGCTCACCACCAGAAGTCTAGTATTTACCCATCACCATACAAATGTGCCCCTTTCCCCTTCGCCCTCTCCCACCCCTTTCCCCTCTGGTAACCACTAATCTGTTCTCTGTATCTGTGTGTGTGTTTCAAGCAAAGACACTCTTATCAAGCAGGACCTTCCAAGGGCTCCCACCTCCCAGGAGCCAGGGGCAAAGGCCACTCCTCTTTGGGCAAGTTTGGCTTTTCACCCCATAGTGGGTCCGAGGGTTTTACGTTGTTGTAATCACTGTGACGTGGCCTCTGGGAAGACAGCATTGCTCTGCTCCTTTGGGATGCCCAAAGTGCTCTGTTTTCCCAGAACTGACAACAGAGAGTGAAGAGACCCCCACCCCACAACAAAGGGTGAAGAGATCCCCACCCCACAGCCAGGTCTGTTGCCATCCACACCCCTACTGGGGGGGCAGAGACTCAGAGAGAGAAGGGAAAGGGCAGCTGGGATTTGAACCCAGTCTTTGGATCTCAAAGGCTCACCCTGGGGTCTCCAGCTCCTCCAAGGAGGACGGGGGCGACCAGGAGCTGGGAGGACCCTGGGTCGGAGGAAACCCCTGGGTATGGTGTACCTGGGGGAGCTCTGGGCTGCAAGGTGGGAGCTGCAGGTAGGCTCCGGGCCTCACCCAGACAGAGGGCCAGAGTCTGTCCCTGGAGCTCACCTGGGGCCTTTGTTCTTGGCACTGCGGCTGCTACACTCACTGTTGTGCTGGGCTTCTCGGGGCCAGCCTGGTGGGCGGGCAGGGACCTCGCCAGGCTCGCGTCCACCTGTGGATCCAGCCCTTCTTAGGAAGCCAGGATGCGCCAAGACAGGGCCCGGGATGTGGTCTGAGCACTGCTCATGGCAGCTGCAAGGGGACAGCGTGAGCACTCTGAAATCCTGCACGCCCCTTGGCTTGTAGACACAGCCATCTTCCCCTGGTGTCTTCACACCGTCTTCCCTCTGCGTGTGTCTCCGCATCCAAATTTCCCATTTTTATAAGGACCCTAGGCCTGTTGGATTAGTGCCCACCCTAATGACCTCGTTTTACCTTGATCACCTTTGTAAAGACCCTATTTCCAAATAAGGTCACATTCTGAGGTCTTGGGGGTTAGGATACTGATGTATCTTTATACAGGGCACAGTTCAACCCACAGCCTGTGATTTCCTGGCATCTTTTCATGAAACCTCTGAGAGATTTATTAGCCCATTTTATAGATGAGGAAAGCCAAGGCCAGGTCACACAGCTCGCCATCATTCCTTTGTTCATTCAGAGTAATTATTAAGCGCCTGCTGTGTGCTGGGCCCTGGGGACCCAGTGTGAGTGGACAGACCTGGGATCTGTCCTGGGAGGCTCAGAGGAGACAGACAGGGAGCCAGGGAGTTCGGACAGCAGGGTGGGGGTTTGACAGTAGAAGCCCAGGCACTGTGGGGCCAGGAGGAGGTATCTGTACGGCTCAGCCTGAGGAGGTCAGGAGATGTTCCTCCCTCATCAAGAGGCCATCTTAGCTGGGAACTCGGGGGAGGAGGGGAGGGAGAAAGGAAGGGTGTTCTTGGTAGAGGCCCAGCATGTGCAAATGTCCTGAGGTCAGAATGGGTGAGTTTGGGGTGCCAAAAGCCAGAGTGAGTAGGGGTGGGGGAGAGAGACTAGCACCCGTGTCGTGGGTGGCGCCTGGTCAGGCAGGGTCTCCAACACCAGGCTGAGGTGCTTGGGGTGCTATGGATCCGTGGAGGGGGCACTGGAAAGGGGCTGGAGCCCTGCCATGACTGCAGTGACTCCTGGGCTTCTCTCTGCCCTGCAGTGAAGCACCCACCGGCGGAGCCCTCCCGGTTCGTCTCAGTGCCCACCAAGATGCCTGACAAGATGGGCTTTGATGAGGTGGGCCAGGCCTTCCCTGGAGTGGGGGCGGGACCAGGGGCTAGCCAGAGGGTGCGACGGAGGCTCTGGGCCACAGGTCTTCATGATCAACCTGAAGCGGCGGCAGGACCGGCGGACACGCATGCTGCAGGCTCTGAGGGCACAGGAGATTGCGTGCCGGCTGGTGGAGGCTGTGGACGGCAAGTGAGTCCGGCTGGGCGGGAGGGTGGTCAGCACGTGGGTTAGACCATGGTGTGGGGGCCATGGAGGGGCGGGGAGTCTGGCCTGGGAGGGGAGGGTGGACCGCACGTGGGTTAGACTGTGGTGTGGGGGCCGTGGAGGGGAGGGGAGTCCGGCCTGGGAGGGAAGGGTGGTCCGCACGTGGGTTAGACCGGGGTGTGGGGGCCGTGGAGGGGAGGGGAGTCTGGTTTCGGAGGGGAAGGTGGTCTGCACGTGGGTTAGACCCTGGTGTGGGGACCGTGGAGGGGAGGGGAGTCCGGCCTGGGAGGGGAGGGTGGTCCGCACGTGGGTTAGACCCTGGTGTGGGGACCGTGGAGGGGAGGGGAGTCTGGCCTAGAGAGGGGCTGGCAGATGGCACTCAGGGTGGACACTGCCCTGGTGTGCCTGGGCACGTCAGGTCCAGGAGGGGTGCTGACAGTGGAAGAGGGAGGGGAGGCTTGGCTGGAGGGGAGCACTGATGGTGGACTCACAGAGTGGGCTTCCACCGACCCCTCCTTTCCGCTTCCAGAGCCATGAACACCAGCCAGGTGGAGGCGCTGGGCATCCAGATGCTGCCTGGCTACCGGGACCCGTACCACGGGCGGCCTCTCACCAAGGGGGAGCTGGGCTGCTTCCTCAGCCACTATAACATCTGGAAGGAGGTGGGTTCTGCTGGCCGGGGGCCCTCCTCAGCCTCCTGCCGGCTCAGGGAGGGAATCGCCTGCACTCCACGCAGGCTTCCAGAACCACAGCAGGACACAGGGCCTCTTCAGTGGAGGCCTCTCCTGACGCGTCACCTGAACCCTGGCGGGGTAGCTCCTTTGTGCACTTGTGGAAGCCACCTGGGGGGGATCCTGGGTCCTGGAACAGGGTATCTGAGGCCTGGGACCTTTTGGCGAGGGCTTTTCATGCCCAGCTTCTGTCAGATGTCTGTGGAGCCTGAACTCTATGTTCATCGCTTACTGATAGAAGTAACAGCTATGGTGACATTAACCACCACGGACCCCACACGTTGGTACCCCGTTAGCCTGGGGGCTCGTCAGCCACCCTTGGAGGGAGAGGCTGTGATGAGTGAAGTTACCAGCCTGGGGTTTGAACCTGGGGCCATCAGGTGTGAGGCCAGATGCCACGTCTTTCTGCAGGGTGGGAGGACGTGTGGGGAGGAGCTCACCCAGGTTGCCCTCCTTTCCTGAGATTAATCATGGATAGCATGGGGCAGAGGTTGAGGAGTCCAGGTGGCCCTGGAGCTCGGGGGACCCTGCTTCAAGTCCAGCCCTGCCTCTTAGAGGGGTGAGCTCTGTGAGCAAGGAAGGCACTTCCCAGTCTGAGCCTCAGTTTCCCCACATGACACAGTCACCATCTCAGGGCAGTCGTGAAGATTCAGGGAACGTTTGCCAAGCACCTGCTGGGGACACGACAGCCAGCAAGACAGACCCTCCCCCCCACAGGGGCCTCACAGCCCCAGGAGGTGGGGAGACTGATGATAAACCACAAAGACATAAACTACAATAAAACGAGTGAGATGTGTTTACAGGAGAGGCCCAGGGCTATGAATTGTCCTCAGCTGGCAACTTTGGATGGTGGTCAGGGAGGATCTCCTGGGTGGATGACATTTGAGCTGAGGCCTAAAGGGTGAGAAGGATCCTGCCTGCTGCTGCTTGGAGGAGGGTGTTCTATGTCAAGGGCACAGCCCAGGCCCAGACCCCAGAGTGGGAAGGAGCAGGGAGGCCAGGCTGGGGCATCTGCTGCCAAGTGTGTGAGGAGCTGGTGGCCAGGAGGGAGGTGGATCCAGACAGTGGTGGGGAGGGGGGTGCGTTTACTTCTGTGCTGCTGCCCCAGAGCCTTTAGGCAGAGCTGGCTTCAGGGTCGGGCTCAGCCTTGATCTCCCCGTGACCTGGGCGGGGTGTCCTCCCTCAGGTTGTGGACCGGGGGCTGCAGAAATCGCTCGTGTTTGAGGATGACCTGCGCTTCGAGATCTTCTTCAAGAGGCGCCTGATGAACCTCATGCGGGATGTGGACCAGGAGGGTCTGGACTGGGACCTCATGTGAGTGTGGGGTCTGCTGTGTGGCCTAGACCCTGTAGGCCTGAGGGCGTTTGCAGGTTAATAGGTGGGGCCAACTCTCAGGAGTATGGCAGAAGGAGACTGGGGTGTGGCCTGTGTGATGGGCTCCGTGGTCCTGGGCCTGAGAGCAGTCAGGGCTTGGGGCTTGGCCTAAGGCGTATGGGGTAGGGTCTTGGGAGGATGGCCTGGAAGTTTAAGGACTTGGCTGTGGGGAGGGTGGCTCATCAGGGCTTAGAGACTTGAGTTCTGTAGTGGGTGGAGTGTGGCTAGGATTTGACAGGAAAGCCTGTGGGCATGGCTGAGGAGCCTGGGATGGGTGTGGTCAGGGCTCGGGAGCATGGCCAGAAGCTGGGGGCATGGCTGAGTGTGGAGGTGGCCAAGGAGCTTGGGTCTTAGACTAGCACTAGGTGAGGTGTGGCCAGCATATTTTTGGAACAGTCTTTTGGAATCTGATTATAGGGGGGTTGGCTCGTACTCTCTCCTTCTCTCTCCGTCCATCCTTCCCTCCCTGCCTCCCTCCCTCCCTCTCTCTCTCTCTCTCTCTCCCCATCCCCTGTGCAGGACTCTGATCCAGGTCTAGGCCCCAGACTCTGGACCGTGCTATTAACGTGAATAGTAACTGTACCCATTCATTCTTGACTATCCTCCTTGCCCTACTGCCCAACAGCCCTCTGAACCCAGAGCATCCCTCTCAGGCCCACTCTCCTTTGTCGTGGCACAGCCTCAGAGAATGTCAAAGACATCCCAGGTCCAAATCCTCTCATGGCTCCCTAGTGCCCTTGGAAAAAACCCACCCTCCTTCCTGTGGGCCCCAGACCCCAGTGGTCCTGCCCCGTCCAGCCACGCCAGCCTCCGCGTTGCTCTCCAAATTTGCCGTGCCCACTCCCACCCTAGGGATGGGCTCACCAGATCCCTGGCTTTCTGGGTTAGCGTTCTCTGGCGAGCAGGAGAAGGGTGACGGGGTGCCAATTCTGCACCCCAGCTATGTGGGCCGGAAGCGGATGCAAGTGGAGCACCCCGAGAAGGCTGTGCCCCGCGTGAGGAACCTGGTGGAGGCCGATTACTCCTACTGGACGCTGGCTTATGTGATCTCCCTGCAAGGCGCCCGCAAGCTGCTGGCTGCCCGGCCGCTGTCCAAGATGCTGCCTGTTGATGAGTTCCTGCCCGTCATGTTCGACAAGCACCCAGTGTGAGAGGGGCTGCCGCGGGTGGGCGGGGGTCTCACTGTGTGGCTGTCCTGGGGGCGGGGGGCTCACAGACCCCAGGGAGGTGTCTTTTCCTCCACCACTTCCTCCCTGCATCTGTCTCTTCCCCTGACCCACTGCCACCCCTCACTCCCCTCCTCCCCCCAGGTCTGAGTACAAGACCCACTTCTCCCCCCGCAACCTGCGCGCCTTCTCTGTGGAGCCCCTGCTTGTCTACCCCACGCACTACACAGGGGACGACGGGTATGTGAGCGACACAGAGACCTCAGTTGTGTGGAACAATGAGCACGTCAAGACCGACTGGGACCGCGCCAAATCCCAGAAGATGCGGGAGCAGCAGGCGCTGAGCCGCGAGGCCAAGAACTCAGATGTGCTGCAGTCCCCACTAGACAGTGCTGCCCGTGACGAGCTCTGAGGGGCAGCAGCCACAACACCAAAGCAGCCATCACAGGCCCGGCCTCCACGTGCTCGCCAGGGTCAGCTGGGCCCCTGTGGGTCCCTGGCAGGCCAGGGGGCTCTCCACGCAGGGCGGTGTTCATCCAGCGTTTGCTCAGCAATCACATGCACGCAGGCAGCATTAATGGGGTGCCTACTGTATGCCAGGAACAGGGCTTCCCACCTTGGGTGGGAACAAGCCAGCATTCATCTCTCTGTGTACCCAACACTTTTTAAGCATTTACTGTGTACTGGGTTCCTGTGTTATGGCAGTGAAGGACGCGTAATTATCCCCTCAATCAGTGATTGAGTCAGTCATCAAGCATTTATTGATTCCCCCCCAAGAATCAGGCACTAGTATACACATTCATTTTTTAAATTAATTCAAGTATTTATTGAGTGCTGACTGTATTTTGAGCACCATTCCAGGCTCTGGGAATATGGAGATGAACAAGACACTTTCATTCATTTATTCAAACATATTGAGCACCTGCTATGTACCTGGTACTTATGATACAAAGACAATTCTTATTGGCTCAGTGCATTTATTGAGTGCCTGCTGTGTTCTGGGAGCTGAGCTCGGTGCTGGGGATGGAAATAAACAAGGTGCTTTTTACTCTTTAATTGGTTTCTCCCCCATACGTCTGAAGAGTGCCAAGTGTGCACCAGGCACTAGTGATACAAAGCAGCATGACGGTTGTTCATTCAGCATCTGATCACACACATGTGCTGGGCCACAGAGATGAACAAATGAGTCCTTTCCTGTCTTCATGCAGCAGGCATTTATTGAATGCCTACTGTGTACCAGACCTGATGGACCCCCAGTGCGGTTGGAGAATGGTTGACTGAGTCTGGTTCCTCCTCGTCCCCTGTCACCTGAGCTCTGTGCAGACAACATGCCCCCACCACCCCAGAAGGGAGGGTGACTCTTCCCCCATCAGGGGCAGCTATGGGTCTCAGTGGCCACATGGACACTGGCAAGCCCCCCTGGACCAGCCCCCTTGGAGGGGGTGGGGGGTGAAAATGGGGGCTGGGTCTCCCGTGCCTGCTCCTGATCCTGTTTGCTTGACTTCCCTGGCCTGCATCTCAGGTGTGGTCTCGGCCTGCTCAGTGGGGCTCCTCTGTCCATTGGTGGGGTCACGTGTGTGGGGCTCTGCATGGGCTCAGCTGCACTGGGGAGCTGACCGTGGCCTGGGCATGTGTTCCCCAGCACGAGCCAGAGGACTTGCTGTGCCTTCAGCCAGAAACGAATGTCAGAGCCAGCCAGTGGTGCTTCGCTCTCTTAGGGGCCACTGCTCGCCGGCTCGGGTCTTGGATGACTTGCTTATTTTTTTATTAAATATTCGTGGTTGGTTTTCATGTGAGTCTGCGTTGTCTTCTTGGTCCAATGCTCTGCTCCCCGCCACAGGCCTCTCACCCCCACCCCTGCTGCTGGCTGAGATGTGGGAGGAAAGCAGGGGCCAGAGAGAAGCTGGCCGGGGAGTGAGCCTGGGGCGGCCTTCAGTAAGAGCCCCCGTGTGCCAGCTGCCCTGTCAGTCTTCCCTGAAATAGCCCAGGACAGAGGGCCGGTCTTCCTCCACCCTGTGGGGCCGCTGTGGTGGAGTCTCAGATGACAGGATGAGGAGGGGGCCTGTCAGGGTTTGGAGTCCGCAGAAAACACCCCAAGATGAGGATTTGAGGGCACGTGGGTTATCCAGGAGGCGGCCCCAGGAAGCCCCCCGGCGGGGGAGGGGGGTGGACAGGAGACGGAAGGGGTCCTGCAGGGGGCACCAACAACCAACTGTGTGGTGGACGGGGGCTGGGGACAGCAGGGAGCATGCGCCTCAGAGGGGCCCCACCCCTGCGGCCAGCCAGGTGGGGTGTTGGTCACACCCGGCGGCAGTTGGATTTTCTGGGTACAGCACTTGAGGGTTCTCAAGATTCTTCAGCCCTTCGCATGCTTGGGCATATGTGAGGCTTTGATAAAAGAACACAGAGGGTGTGTGCTCCTCATGGAAAAATTAGAACACAGCCGAGAAACTGAAAAAGCAGAATTAAATCACACGTCCTTAGAGACAACTCCTAATATTTTGGCAAAAACCCTTCCAGTCTTACCCATTTGCGTGGTGGGAACATATACACTTTTTTTTTTTTTTTTGTGAGGAGATCAACCCTGTGCTAACATCTGCCAATCCTCTTTTTTATTTTTGGTGAGGAAGATCAGCCCTGAGCTAACATCTGCCAATCCTCCTCTTTTTGCTGAGGAAGACTGGCCCTGGGCTAACATCCATGCCCATCTTCCTCCACTTTACATGGGACGCCGCCACAGCATGGCCTGCCAAGCAGTGCGTTAGTGCGCACCCAGGATGCGAACCTGCGAACCCCGGGCCACCACAGCGGAGTGCGCGCACTTAACTGCTTGCGCCACAGGACATTTTTAAAAGGAGGGTTGTGTTATATAAACTGCTGAAACCTTTCTTTCCCCACACAACACATTTCTGTTTCATGAACATGAGATGCAACTGTACGCATTTCTTCAGCAATTTTCTTTTTAAACTTAACAAGGTATCGTGGGCGTGCTGATCAGCGCAGGCGTCCCCGTTCTTTCTGGATTGCCGCACACAGCACTCCGGGAGGGGCCGTCGTACTTGACCCTCTGACTGCAGAGCGGCGGCCTGGCCACGAGTAGTGGACACAGCACGTCCTTCCTGGGGACTTTGTGCTGCAGTCAGCAAGCTGGTCCCAGGGTACTGGCTGGGCTCACAGGCACGTGCACGCGGCGTTCAGCAGAGGCCGCCATATTCACTCTTGCGAAAGCCTCTTCATCCCGTGTGGACCAGGGTGGGTGATCCGAGGTTATTAACCAGTCCTCTCCACTGGAACACTGGAGTCGTTCCTCATGTGCTACGGGCGCTTTCCGAATCTTATTTTAACCTGGTGGATCTCACCAGGGGTGATTTGTCCCTCGGGACATTGGGCGGTGTTTGGAGACTTTTCTGGTTGTCACGACTGGGGGTGGGTGCTCTTGGCATTGAGTGGACAGAAGCCAGGACGCTGCTCAATGCCCTACTGTGGCAGAACCGCCCCGTGACAAAGACTGAGCCAGCCCCAGGAGTCCGCAGAACCGTGGTCGAGGCTCCCTACCCCCAGTTCCATTCAGCCTCTTGAAGACGTGAGTCTCTAGAAGGGTCATCTTCATGGAATGAAGTCTACTTTGCTATGAGATACCTCTGATTAAAGCCTCGATTCTCAGGTTCTGCCTCCAGGTGAAGAAGTCAGAAGCTTGGAGGTGGTGCCAGGGAATCTAAATTTTATTTTGAATGCCCCGATCCAGTTATCTAACTCTGATCTTTCCTCTGCTCTCTGAACCTCCAGGAGAACCACATCCTTCTTTCTGGAACATTCCATATATATAGTGTGTATTTTTCTTGCCTTCATTTTATTAATCTGTTATTTTTAGTTGAAAAGTGTTTCATGTTGATGGGAAAACCCTTCAGTTGGTCCATTGGCTCATTGTCTTAGTTTTCTACGGCTGCAGTAACAAATTTCCACAAACTTAGAGGCTTAAAACAACACAAATTTATTGTCGCGTGTTTCTGGAGGCCGGAGTCTGAAATCAGTTTCCCTGGGCTACAGTCAAGGTGTTGGCAGGGCTTGGTCCTTCTGGAGGATCTAGGGGAGAATCCGTGTCCTCGCCTCTCCCAGCCTCTGGAGGCTGCTCGCATTCCTTGGCTCACGGCCCCTCGTCCATCACTCCAGCCTCTTGCTTCCATCGTCACAGCTCCTGCTTCTTCATCTGACCTTTTTCATCCCTCTTATAAGGACCCTTGTCATTGATTACATTAAGAGCCCACTAGAATAATCGAGAATAATCTCCCCGTCATCTCAAGATCCTTAATCACATCTGCAACATTCCTTTTGCCATTTAAAGTAACATTCACAGGTTGTGGGCAATAGGAGGTGAGTATCTTTGGTGGGGGACATTATTGAGTCTACCACATTTGTCCTTTAGCATGGCTGCAGTTGTGTCTGGATCTATGGATGTATCATAATTTATTATGTATCATAACATAGTGTATCAATCAGGATTAAGGCAGGACACAGAAACCACATGAAGTCTTTTAGCAGAAAGGGGTTTAATACAGGAAATTCACAACAACGCAACTGCTGTTGCAGCGTGCAGGCAGCCACAGACTGAGTTGAATGAAAGAATGAGCGTGGCTGTGTGCCAATAAAACTTTATTTACAAAAACAGGCAGTGGGCCGGATTTGGCCCAGGGGCTATAGTTTGCCAGCTCCTGGTGCAGAGGAGCAGGACCCTGAACCACCTCACCAGGGGAACCGAAGCTCTCACAGTGGAGGAAGGCGGGGAGCCAGGAGGTCCTTGCAGCTTCTAACTCAGGGCACACACCCTGTGTCTGTGATCCAGGGATCAGATGCTGCCTTCGCCTCCACAACTGCTTTTCATTGCCTGCCAAGCTTGTCACTGGACGCAGGAATGTGAATTCCAAAACACTAGGTGTTTCCACGCCTGGACCAAGACAGCTCTGGTCCCTTCTGCCTTCCAGACTGCTGCAGGCGCCTCTGCCAGTGGACCCGGACGCCCAGCTGCAGGGAAGGCTGCGAGCACGGCTGCAGCTTCGCAGCCTCTGCCTGGAAGGGGTTGGATTAGGGGGGGTGTTGATGTCAACCCACCACTTCCCCTCATTTATCACTGTACGTTATGGTGACGGTAAGAATGATTGTGTAACTGTAGCATGCATAATCCTGGAAACCATTGTATGTAATTGCAGGATAAGGAGCAGAGTAATTATAATGCAACATAGTAAGTTATGTAATGAAATGTAGTCTCACACAGATGGTGAATCACATAATTGTGTTACACCCTCCAGGAAACTGAGTGTGCACCTTGGTGACGTCCCTGAGTGATCCTGCCACGTTGGCAGGTGGCGTGATGAGCAGTAAACAGGGGTGGGATAGGGTTGATTGTGGGGGTGGGGGCAAGAGAGGAGGGTGGGGTGCTAGAGTTTAGCCTACAGTTGAGAGAAGCAAGGAGCCTCAGGAGGGGAGGCTGAAGAAGCATGGATTAGGTCAGAGGTGGCAACCAGCGGCCCACGGGCCAAATCTGAGCAGCCACCTGGTTTGGTTTTCTTAAATATTTTTTTGGGGGGCCGGCCCCGTGGCTTAGCGGTTAAGTGCGCGTGCTCTGCTGCTGGCGGCCCGGGTTCAGATCCCGGGCGTGCACCGACGCACCACTTCTCCGGCCATGCTGAGCCCGCATCCCACATACAGCAACTGGAAGGATGTGCAGCTATGACATACAACTATCTACTGGGGCTTTGGGGAAGAAAAAGGAGGAGGATTGGCAATAGATGTTAGCTCAGAGCCGGTCTTCCTCAGCAAAAAGAGGAGGATTAGCATGGATGTTAGCTCAGGGCTGATCTTC